AAAAAAAAAAAAAAAAAAAATAATGAAGAATTATTTGAAGAAAATTTTTAAAATAGACTATTATTTTATAATTACTCAACGTTTTTAAACAAAAGTACCAAAAGAGCCGTTAGCAGTCGGTCAGCTCTAAAAAAAGCTATTTATCATATTCAGACATTGTTCATATTCTTACATTATTTAGTAGCTCGGTGTCGCTCTTATCTCTGCTCGTAAATCTAGGCGACAAAATGCCGGTTGGGGAAGTCCAAAACGAATCAATTTGTTAAAAATTTAAGAGGTCCATAGTACTCATCATGGACACTAAATATGTCAAATTTTACTAAGTCGGATTAATAATCAATATCTCTTTGAGATATTAATTATTAAGGCTCATAGTTGGCATTTTAATTTAATAACATTACGCGTATGGCTTAGGTCTACGATAATTCACTAAAATAAATAATTTTTAATGAAGTAAAGTTTTTTGAAAATCGAAATACCCAAAGTGTTTGTTCATAACGACTGCTCACTTTGATAAACGAGACAATATTTATCGGGCTCTACTGCACCGTTTTTCTAATTATTCACGTAGGCCCGTAACATATACAAGCGAGTTCTTTCAACGGTTCATCAGACAAAATATTTTTGTCGAAATAAAGCGTCCAACAAAAGTTTTCAATAAGAGAACATACGCTTTTTAAAATTTATTTTTAAACAGGAAACGTAAATTAATGTAAAACAGATATTAATTGACATAGATCATTTCATATGAAACGAATAAGCAAACCAATGATGTAGTTCGTTTCATATAAAGCGAACTACATCATTGGCTCTCTTATTTAGCTGCAAGGAAACGCGCCCTATATGTTCTCGAGGGCTTAAAATGTTTTGATTTATTTACTTCCATTCATCATCAACCGAAATAACATTATTGCCGTTTAATACCGTATTTACGTAAAAATAATGTAACAAACTTTGGGGAAATTATTTTAAAATAGATTTGTTATAAAATAAAAGTATTACGAGAGTTGGCAACACGAAATCGATTATTCCGGTATCGTTTGTTAACGTTGACTAGTCTTCTGCTAGAAAAAAGATGGAATGGTTACAAACTTTACGAATTTCTCGAATTATATCGCGTTTAGAATCTTTGGGAAGATTTTTTACAGCTAGGGGAATATTTATTTGCGTTTTGGGATTTAATTGGCTCCTGTATCTATGGGAAACTTATTTGTCTGCTAGGCAGGTGAGTTTCTTCCCGATTTTTTATTATTTCCATTCAAATTAAATAAAATATTGAATAAATCGACAAAAAGTTTATTTCTGAAGCACCAGAATTGTCTATTTTATATTTTATTTCAATAGATTAAATTTCACAATTACTTTAAACTTAGGCTCCGCTAAGTGCATCCTAAATTTAACCTGTTTAACGTATTTATATTTTCAGTACAGAGTGTACAAGAATGCCGCTTCGGTGCCTCCCGAGTTGATCGGAATCATGGATCAGACCACTTTCAACAAGGCTCGTGCCTATCACTTGGATACGGCCAAATTTTCTTTTTTCTGTTCCTTGGTCAAGCAGTTTGTGACCACGGTAAGTGTGGGCAAAGTTGAACCGGTCAAAAAATAATTCGAGCTGTTGTGTTCTAATTGTAAGTCGTTGCCGATGGTGATGCGCCGTGATTTACGGTTAGAATACGAAACGAGAAATTTGAACTAAACCTTCTGTGTGATACGATTCCTATAATTTATTACGAGTGGTGTGGATGGAATACTGGGTGTTTCGGTGTGCGTCGGTGAACTGCTGTGTGTTCCGATATTTGCTGGCGAGTTTGTCGGCGTGGCTGCCGGTGCGCATTTGGCCGTTTGGTGTGTCTAACTCTGGCCAAGCCGTGTGGCCTCCTCCACGGTTATGTTATTAATGCCATTTTTACTGCTATTCTGTATTACCATAAAGTTATTTGAAAAAAAAGTCAGCAAATGATACAATAGAACTATTTGCTTTTGCCATCTTGTTAGGTTGCCAGATGTTTCTGTAAAGCTTTATATTAAACTAGTCACCAATGCTTATGTAATATACCCAAACTCCAATAGTAAAGTTCAATAATTATGCTGTACAATGCTTGTAATGCATATAGAAATGAAAACAAGCATTGTTCTACGTTCAAAAGACTTTATAACCTGAAATCGGGGCTTAAGACTGTCGAAAACATTTGTTCTATGGTGTAAATATTGAACTTTATCATTGGAGTCTAGATGTATTACTTAAGTTTAGTTTTTCTCCAGTTACAATAGTAGTATGGGCGGTCTTCTACTTCTATACAATTCACTACAAGTCGACCCCCCCTATAACACTGTTGATTATTCCATTTTATATGAATTCCATGTTGTATGAGTCACTTAGATTTTACAAATACAGTAGACCCCCCTATAAAACCGGTTCCTATAATTACGATTCCTATAAAACTGCAAAAAAATTGCGACGGTATCCGTAAAAAAGGTAAAAAAAACTCCTATAATTACGTGAAATGTCATCGGGCAGCCGAACTATTTTCCGCCGTCAAGTGCCACGCTACGGAGAGTTTGCTATCATCTGTACAGTATTATATATAAATTAGATATAAATTAGGTACTGTACATATAATTATATATTAATTATATATAAATTAGGTACTGTATATATAATTATATATTAACTTATTGTAACTTTGTTATAATTAAATATATAATTTCCGCCGTCTAGCGTGGCGCCACGCTACGGAGATTTTTACGCTAACTATCGTCTGTCAGTATGTAAATTAGGTACCGTAAGTCTAATACAGTACTGTAATTTTATACATTTCTTGTGAAAGAAACATTTCTTATTCAACGGCGATTAAAATTATTTATATTAATGATGTCTCCAAAGTTCAACGAAGTTTTCGCAGAAAAATAAGTTATTAGAAATCGGCCGCTGTTTGCTGAGCTGTTCCGCGACGAAAACAAGCTTTAGCAATGGCGATGTCGAATGGTGCACACTCGGTAAGTAATCCTACAATTTTTTGTTTATAGCGTAGTTTATACGGATTATTTCCAAAAAAAATATACGTATTTTGGAAATGTTGAGTAGAATTAGTCTAGAATCGATTAATTTTATGGAAGGAAACCTTTCAAACAGCCGTAGTCCGTAAACTTGACATGTGTCGGGCTGTGATTGGAAGGACTCGTAAGAAATCGGATTCCTAAAGAATGGAACGTAGCTATGATCTTATAGGGGGGTCGACTGTAGATGTGCCAGGCTGTGAACGGCTCACGTATTTGTAAAATCTAAGTGATTCGTACAACATGGAATTCATATAAAATGGAATAATCAACAGTGTTATAGGGGGGGTCAACTGTATTTCAATTTTTATCGATACATAAGACAAAAACGTGTATTTTCAAGTAATGATTTGCCTCTTCTTGTGAACTATTAGTCACTAGTTCCTTCCCATCTCTCTGATATTAATCGTGTCCATTTTCGGTGTCACGGCTTTGTTCTTGAGTTAGCGCTTGTGTTGATAAGTTGTGTCTTGTCAGGACATGTGCTATCACTTTATGTACATTTCTGTTTTGGTTAGAAAAAATTGCCCTTATTAATTCATAAACATGAGTGAAAAACAAAAAAGCAGCAGTGCTGATACGGGTCTCATAACCTCCATACAATGAAGATAAAGATGGATATAATTAGACATTCTGAAAGTGGCAAATCTTTTTCTTCAATCGGTCGTTCATATAATTTAAGCTGATCAACAATATGTTCCATCATGAAAAACAAGAATAAAATTAAGGAATATGTTCAAAATTATGGAAATATTTCTTCGAAGATTGTTTCAAAAAGACATGGCAGAGTAACGGATGAAATGGAGAAATCTTTGACTTTATGGATTGAAGATCAACATCAAAAAGGCATCCTGTTGAGTTAATCAATTATTCAAGCTAAGGCTTTTAGTTTGTATGAATATTGGAAGAAATGATTAAAAGAAGATTCTGCTATGGAATTTGTAGCAAGCAATAGCTGGTTTGACAAATTTAAAATGAGGTCGTCTTTACATAATATTAAATTTACTGGGGAAGCTGCCAGCCAATGTATTCCCACTTTCTCCAATATCATTGAAGATTGAGTTTATTCTTGCCAAATCTTCAATGTGGATGAGATGGGATTATTTTGGAAAAATATTCCTACACCCCATACTTAGCAAAGGAAGAGTCAGTTGTTTCTGGACGTAAACCTTCTAAAAACATTAACATTGTTTCTTGGAGGTAATTTTGCTAGTAATTTAAATTGAAACCAATGCTAATTTATCGAACAGAAAATTCCAGAGCATTGAAAGGAAAAGATAAAAAAAAAGTTTTGTCATTTGGAAATCAAATACTAAAGCCTGGTCTACTGCACAGCTTTTTCAAGATTGGTTCTCACATTATTTTGTGCCTTTTGTTAGGCAATATTGTAATGAAAATAATTTACCATTTAAAGCACTATAGCTCTTAGCCAATGCTCCTGGACGTCCAAAATTTCTGCAAAATTTATATCTGGAAATTAATGCTGTGTTTCTTTCTCCCAATACCACAAACGAAATATAACCCATGGACCAATCAGTGATAGATACTTTTAATCGGATATTTTATATGAGGAGATTAATGAATCAAGCAATCAAGACAATTAAGGAAGATGGTCCTACGTTCAGAGACTTTTGGAAAAATTATAATACATGGAATGCAATAAGTATTACTGGGGACTTGGCTGAAATAAAAATCAACAATGAAAAGTTGTTGGGAAAAAATATGTTCATAAATGATGAATGATTCTGTGGACTTTGAAGAAACTCCTGAAGTTATCATAACTGAAATAGTCAATATAATAAATGAATTAAACTTAGATGATAACAATGAAGATATTGATGAGTTAATGCAACTTAACTCAGAACCTCTGTCAAATGAAGACTTGATTAAACTATAAGAGATGAAGGAAATAAAAAATGGAGAACCTGATAACAAACTCATTGTTAAGACTTTGACAATCAAGAATACAAACAAAGCCTTTATGCATACTGACAAATTTTTTACCATCGTGGAAGAATGTGATCCCAGTGGACATCGTTCAAAGGACAGTACAAAAACACAGCATGTTACAGAACTCTTGATCAAGAAAAGAAAGAGTACAATCCATAATCTCTTGATGAATTTATAAAGAAAACATCAGATACTAATGAATAAAAAATAAATAAATATTTTGAAAACCTTTTTTGATGATTTTTTTACATTGCTCTATTTTTGTACGTTTCAACTTTCATACACATTTCAGGAACCAATTAGGTATGAAAGTAGAGGACTGCCTGATTATTTGATGATCATCAGTGCATTGGGTGTGGCTGAGATTGATGCATATTGGAATGTATGGTACCTACTAATATTCATTCCTTAGTTTGCCTGATCTTATTGTGGAGACAATTTTCCTTATACTGCCAACATTGTGGCTATCCTCTTGTTAATAAATCAATGAATAAAGTAAAATTTGAACCAAATATCTGAAAACTAGATTTTAATTGTTTGAACTAAGTAGTTTGGACTAAAGTTAGTAGATAGACTGCTGTCTTGAATTAATATGTAATTACTAGCTGTTACCCGTGACTTCGTCCGCAGAGGTTTTGCAAGCAAACCCCATTTACATTCAATATTTCAATAACCATAGTAATTGTTAGGTCTATATAACACCTACCGCTGAAGAGAATTGCCGAGAATCAAATGAACCATTTTCAATTTGATCGATTTTCTGGAGCATTTACAATCGTTCTATAATCGAACCAATATGCAATAACAAATTCGAATTTAAAACGGTTCGAACATTTTTAAAATTGAAATAGATAAAAATATTTATAACAATGTCTGAAATGTTATCAATTTAATACACATAAGTACTCAATGAAGACTAAATGTAGTTGAAAACAAAAAATCTCATCTAAAATAGTAGAGTAGAAGCCATTCTTCTGGTTAAGCCTTAATGCTCTCCCTCACCCCCCGCGGGAGAATTTCTAAAAATCCCTTCTTAGTGTGCATTGCCATGACTTACCCTACTAAAATGCACACAAAAAATCGCATCTAAAATAGTAGAGTAGAAGCTGTTCTTCCGGTTAATGCCTTAATGCTCTCCCTCACCCCCCGCGGGGAAATTTCTAAAAATCCCTTCTTAGTGTGCATTGCCATGACTTACCCTACTAAAATGCACACAAAAAATCGCATCTAAAATAGTAGAGTAGAAGCTGTTCTTCCGGTTAATTTTAGCCTTAATGCTCTCCCTCACCCCCCGCGGGAGAATTTCTAAAAATTCCTTCTTAGTGTGCATTGCCATGACTTACCCTACTAAAATGCACATAAAAACAAACAATCGCATCTAAAATAGTAGAGTAGAAGCCGTTCTTCTGGTTAAGCCTTAATGCTCTCCCTCTCCCCCCACTTGGGAATTTCGAAAAATCCCTTTTTAGTGTGCGTTTTCATGACAAACCCTAACTGTGTACCAAATTTCTGCTCTTTAGGTCCAGTGGTTTGCTCTGGGCGATGATGAATCAGTGAGTCAGT